ATGCTAACGTCCGATGCCTGGAGATGTAGAGGGAACCGGCGGTGGGAGTGGCGCAGTGGGTAAGCTCAGCTGTTGTAATTGGGTGGAGAGCTCGGACACCTGCGCTACCAAGGGTTGCACCGCCCTTCCCGTAGCTAGCATCTGCTCCTCCTGACGATCCATACGTGTATTGTTGTGGTATAAAAAGTTCTGCAGATCCGTAGCATTCGCTGAATCCATAATGTGGTCAGATCGTTCTGTCAGGGAGAAAGAATGAGGATTCAGTAGCGAATGTGCAAAACAACGTTTATTGGGAAACCCCAACAAGGAAGATGACGAGAGTCAGATAGGTGAAAGGTGGAGGTAACGAATGAGTCAGTGAGGCCATGAACCGTGACAGCTTCATTGAAATAAAAAATTGGATGTCGAAAAATGTTCTGCAGTTGAATGACTCCAAGTCAGAAGTGCTTATAATTACCCCATGCGTCCCCAGTAGTGCTAGTATAAATAATCTCTCCTGTAGTCTGGGTGTCTTATCTAATAATGTTCTAAAAGAGGCTCGCAACAAAAAATTCAGAGACCCCTAAATACAATGAGTTGCAATAGTCCAATCTCGATCAAATAAATGCATTAATAACGTAATTTCTAAGTCCTTGAGTGGGAGGACAGATTTAATTTTGGCAATCATCCTAAGCTGAAAGAATGCGGATTTGTTTAGCAAATTTCAGTGTTGGGTCAAAAATGACTCACAAATTTCTTGCTTGAGTGCTTACAGTGTTGGTTATAGGACCTAACGTTTTAGAGAGGATATTGGTACATTCAGATAAACCAATAACTAAGCCTAACCATAATTACATGTAGTTAATTAATATTATTCAGTACTTATTTGTGTAATTACACTGTTGATACAGTGTAATTACACAAATAAGTACTGAATAATATGGCCTTAAAATAAAGGGTAAAAGAGAAACAAACAGAAAACCCCATACAGGTTCTGAATTCACATGTAGAGTTGAGTCCTGTACACATATTCAGAGTGACTGTCCTACAGGGGAGTGTTATTGTCAGATTTTAAAACTGATGTCAAAGTTTATGAGCCTGTATGCCACCTGTACAAGTGTTATTTTTTGTATCTTTTAGATACTTTTAGAGTTTTCATTAATAGTTTGATTTAGTTTTCGTTTTTATATTTTCTGTTTTCATTTTAGGTAAAGTTTTAGTAATTTTGTTGTGTGTAGTTGTCATTTTTAATAGTTATGTGTCTATACACTATATAGACACATAGCTATTAAAAATGACAACTACATATATAGTTTTTATTCATTGTTATTTCTGTTTTAGTTTTAGCTCTTTAAGTACTTAAAGTTAAACTAAATGAATGTTTTAAATTGTTTTAGTTAACTAAAATAACCATGACCTGCACAAAACGTGTGGTTTTTGTTCCTAATATTTGGCTCTGGTTGGATGCTAAATACTGAATGCAAAATTAATTTAGACAAAATATATAAGTTGTGCAGGGTGTGTGAAACTTTATGCATGATTGGTGCTCCAATTTTACGGAAATCGGCCTACTTAAATTCTACAGAAATCTGCATAATTTAAGTTCTTTGATGTATGTAAAATCTGCAGGACTGTCCCAAAAAATGAAATTAAAATTGTGCTTTCTTAAAATTGTCCACTTTCACAATTGAAATGTTACTTTATCTTTAAAACTGAAGTGTCAATTCTGTGACACTAGAATCGCCAAAATTAGAATCACAAAAATAATGCCTGTTTTCAAACAGGTCTCCCAGTTGGGCTGCTTAAACAACCAGATTGCAATCCTTTTTCAATTCTGCCCATAGTAATCTACACATTTTCTAACTATCAGTTTGTCATTTTACCCAGTTTGAATCCTTTGATTCGTATTTATTTGACAGCGCGATTCTCCCTGTGTTTGTGTTTCCCAGGACTGAATGTGGGATGTTTCTACGTTGTTTCCACTCTGTTGAACAGGATGATAATAGAGCATTACGCTGTGAGTCCTGCTGTCAACATCCTCGAGTTCTTATCATCCTCATCCACTCTATAGACACAGGATAGCAGTAGCTGAACCTCGAAATGATGCATATGCACTAAAAAAAGTATCACAGTATTGCCATGGTTTTTTTTTTTTGGAAATGGTACGATTGTAATAGCATGGCATTTTTTGAAGTACCATGTACATATCATGGTCAATGATAACTGTTCAGTACTATAGAAACATCACCTTTTTTATTTGTTAAAAACATATAATGTGTCATGCTATAAGTTCACTGTGAATCTCTGAATCACATTCTTAGCAAATGCTCCATGAAAGTCTGGCAGTAGTACTCAATTTCAGCTCAGACTCAGTGTATTGGGTCATCTAAACACCGTGGACTGAAGTGCATGAGAACATGGTCTTACAGGGTGATATATTAAAGATATCTCAGATGTCATTATTGTCTGAAGCACAGGGTGAAGAGGTGAATGCTGGGAGAATTGGCTTGACTCTCGTCATCGCTGGCGTGGTTGGCTCTCTGCTCTGTGGAATCTGGCTAGACAAGACCAAGACTTATAAGTAAGTCATGCATTTTCTATTGTTTCATTTCCCCCTGAGGTCCACATATCATGATAGCAAAGTCTAATACATGTAATGTCCAATACAGTTTTTCACCGTATATAGTAGGGGAATTTACCGTTAACCATTTAACAGGTTTTTACTGTAGCATTTTTACAGTCTTTTACCGTTAAATTCACGGTCATTTTTGATAGAGTGACTTTTCTCCCCAAGACTTTTCCTACAGTAATTTGTTAAAACCCTTAACTTTGACTCATGTTGAGCAGCAGAATGCCTGTAATGCGCTTTCCTCTATAACAGAGCCTCTGTTTCTCCTAATCTGGTCATGTGTGAGAGGATTTACCAGGACAGATCAGCGGTTACTGGGTTTATTACTGACCTTGATTCAAGAATGGGTTTATGGAGAACACTCTCTGGTCTTTACTCTCAATCCTAAATATGTGCTTTCACCCTTGTAGAGAACCAATAATTAATCACTGTTACTGACGTTATTTCAGTCCTGTCACAGTAAGCTTGGACTTAATTTACTTGTAATTTGAGTAGCAGCTGAGTAAATTCTGGTTGTAACAGTGTACCGTGTGTGCAAATCACTCACTGTAATTGAAATAAATATTGTGATAAAGTATTTTGTCAACCCCACTAAATTCAAAATGTTTCAAGGTTGAGCATGATGGGTTGAAGAGCACTGCAAAAATGTCTAAATGCCTTAGTCTAATTGTCTAAATATCAGTCCACCACACTCATCATTTAGAGTCAATATTTTTGTGCTTTGTGCCAAGAACAATATTTTTCAGTAATCAATTAATCAATGTTTTTTTTTTCCATAACAGAGTAAAACAATTGAGCTCTCTAAGGCCAATAGAAATGTAATGTAAGCAAACTGCAACATAGGTATATCATTGGAAAACATAATTGGAAAAACATGCCTCTACCAAGATTTTTTGCAAAACTCCAAAAAACATACCAAGAAATACAATTCTCTTCAGTTTCCAGCTGAAATGAACACTACAGGCAGTAAAACACCTACAATTGTTATTCCTTTTCACACAAATGATTACGAAGGCAGATTATCAGTTAATAAAGACTTATTTTTGCACAGCTCCTTGCACATTACTATGTTATGACCTCAAAACCACATATTGCATGATTGTTATGCTTTTCCGACATAGTAAACTTGCTCGGTAGCGCACCTGGTACAGCATTGCACTTGTGATTGTGATTGATGACTAAATGTAAATGTGATTGTACTCAGGTACTCGAGTCCCGTGAAACATGAGTTGTGATCAAAAAAAGCTTATAGACTTGTAGAAACAAGCTAAAATGGCATAGCTGATTTGTTGACGCTATTAGGTTTAGTTGGTATTTTAGTTTAATATATAATAGGAAGTAACCTTTTGGCATCACTCACTGGACATTTCACTTTGAAATGTTGCGAAACGTGCAAGAAGCAATGTAATATCATCTTGCAGAAATGTGCCACAGTCACGTTTTTTTTTCAATGAGTCTGGGTTGCATAATACTGAAGGCTTCAAGAGAAGCTTGCATCAGTTTGTATTATACCCACTAAACTGAAGTCAGGCTCAGATTCATGCCAAGACCCTTACTGTATACGCATACTGAGTTGACTAAACTTTAAAAAAATATTTTTTAAAACTAGGAATTAGTTTGAACTTTAAGCATGTAACTTAACTTTAACTTCAAACATTTGAAGTAAAAATGACCATTTACATATTGCTGTTTATTTGTGTTAAATAGCTTCAAACAGTGAAGTCAGCATTACACATAGCATATTTGGTAACTATATATATATATATATATATAAACCTGATGTAAATAATAGGTTGTTCAGTGATGCCATTTTTTTCAGAGTAGGAAGAAAATGTACCTTTAAAATTAAAAGGGCCCAAGACCTCTAATTACCATAATTGCATGAACAAAACACATATATTTAACTAACTAAACAACATAAACAAGATTAAATGGAGCTAAAACCTCTATTAATTCTAAATGACAGCTATTTACACAGTCCCATACATATTTAATGTATTCAGGAGCAAGGGATTATGGGTTTCCCTCAGCCACACTGCTTGGTAGAAGATTTATGAAGGTCTTTTCAACTCAACTGTACATTACACCAATCAGTGCACTATAGAAATCAGTGCTGTGTTTGTCTTGTTGCTTGGCAAACTGAATTGAAGAGTTGTTTTTTTTTTTTTTTAAATGTAACCTGTTTCTATCAACGAAAGCACGAGTTTAAGTAAGGGAAGCATGAATAACCCATTTAAACAACACATGTTTTACGCTGTCAGATTATACGGCTCTAAAACTGTACAAGTGAAGGCAATTTGAATATCCTTTGAGACACGAGCAGCATTTGCCTCATGGAGAAACTTTCCTGTTTGCAGAATATTGATTAGCAAATGTGTTCTCTGTTTCCAGAGTTATCATCCACCTCCTGATATTAATAGATGGTGATAGGTTATGTAAGACAGTTGCTCATATGTTTGTCTGTGAATGCATTCTTTCCGTATCCATCACGAAGGCTCTTCAATGTAGTGGTCTCTCTTATCTCTTGTGAAGCGCTGGTTTGATAATTGCCTGTTCAATGAGCACACATCATCCTGGTGCTTGTAATCGGCTCAGAGTCGTTTGAGTCAGAATCGCCCCCGGCAGATCCCAACAGCAGCGGTGAAGTGGGGCGTTTTCTTACGCGTGGTTGTACTGAACGGCTTCATAATACATTGTTTATTTAGAGGGAGCTAAAGACACAAAAGACCTACTTACATGTACAGGAATTTTGTTTTTCCACTGAGGCTGGTTATGATTAAGAAATACATGCTTTTCCTAGAAATATGTGTGGATGTGTGCCACAGCGGTCTGTCGGATTCTTCAGACATGAGACAAATCGCGTCCCATAACTTAACATTTCCACTTAAATATTCATCACAGATGATCACTACAATGTTCTCAACACAAATCTACCATTTAGTTTGATTTTCTCTTTATTTGATAAAAAATTGACATTACGTCATCACGCACTCCTGCAGAATGAGGCTGTTCTCAATAACTCAATACCTATATTCAATTTAAATGAAAATCCATATTTAACTAAATAATATATGTGTTTATTTTAAAAGTAACATAGCTACCATATTCTGACAGAAATAACAGGTTCATTTTGAAAATATACCTTTTTTACTGTAAAGTTTTATATGTGACTGTGTTCCTACGTCTTGTAAACACTGTCAAATTCAATTAAATTAAATTCATTTCTAAAATCAGGCAATATCAAAACCTCTTCATCTTGTCTTGATATTGACTTTTTTTTTTTCTTCTCGGATTTCACCTCAATTGTGTTACAGGGGACAGACAAGGATGATGAGATGCAGATCTAGTTGTAGTTTAAAACGTTATTAACAAAATAAAAGGGAATCCAAAAATGGCAAGAAACAAACACAGCAGCTTTACACATGACATGCAAAGACAATAACGGCAAAGGAACTAAGGAAACTGAGGGCATGTAAATACACAGAAAAATAAGAAACTTAACAAGAGGGATGTAACGGTATGAAAATTTCCTATCACGATTATAGTGACCAAAATTATCATGGTTATCAGTATTATCACGGTATTGTTAAAACGTGATGGAAATGTTCAAAAAGCACTGACACATAAATCACTTAAAGTTTTATATTTAAAATCAACAATCAACAAATAAAATGACTTTTTGTTTGCATAATCACTAAAACAATATTATCTGAATTGTTTAAATGTGTAGAATCCACATAAGCTTGTTTTTCATCAACCGGTCAAAATTTACAGCAGGGCATGCAAATTCGGTCTGTTTTTTTGGCCAGACAGAAACTGCTGCACACAGACTGAATGTGAATGTAAGTCTCTGTAAATCCACTCTCTGACAGCAGGTGGCGCTTATGGAACAGCAGAATTATAGCTGTTTCCCTTAATCTCCATGGACTAAGCAGCATTGCGATTAAAACACTACTTTATTAGGTATTACATGGAGCGAAGTGGGAAACAAAATGCCATCGAATCTTTTCTGAAGACACACACGTACATTCATATAATTAATTAATTCATATATTAATTTGTATAATTCCCTTAACACTCTTTTAAAACCCTCCCAGCTTTTCCGCCCTGTTTTCACTCAAAACGAAACTACTCTGCATGCTCTGCGCACGTGAGACTGTTACTTAAAACGGTGCTTTATGCCGGAGAGCATTTATTTATCCTCAGTTGTTCAAATCACGGTAATCGAATATGGTTATAATGATAATTAAAATTTGAAACGGTAATACTAACCGTGGGGAATTTTATCAGGATTCATCGTCAAACCGGTAATCGTTAGACTTACATCCCTACAAGACACAGATGAACATAATCAATCAACCAGCAAGGACAACGGGGCTTTGGATGACCTCCATGGTGGGAATGAACTAACTTAGGGAGGCTTCCATGGCCGGGATGCTGCATCTTGGAAACTGGACTGGCAGAAATGACAGACCTTGGAAGCTGGACGAGACCAGTGGGGGAGGAAGGATTCTGGAAGGGACCAGTATCTTACACTAGCCAGACGGGCCTGACAGAGGAAGAGCTTTGAGGCTGGGGAAACAGGTGGGACTCCAGGATGTTGAACTGGATTAGTGCTCCTTCTGGAACTGACATGGTGGCTGCCTCTAGTCTCCAGAATAGACATGGTAACAGGCTCAGGCTCCAGGACAAACATGGCTTCTGGCTCTAGCTCAATGATGAATATCTCTACTGGCAGAAGGTCCGTGGCGAGCATGGGCTCAGGCTCTGGGTATGTGGTGGGTGCATGGTGGTCAATGTCATTCTCCACCTCACCCATGTTGAAAAAGGAGCTGTTTGTTGCAAGCATCAGCTCAAAGTCAATACATTTCCCTTGAGGATCACATACTGAAATAGGAAATTGGTGTTTTAAATTGTCATTAGTCCAAACAAATGGAGAACCAAAGAAGTCCTAACAAATGGATAACATTTAACAGAGCCCCCAACTTAAGAAGCAGATCCCCAACAACAAAACCAAGAGTCCAGGAGGGAGGTGGAGCTGAGGTGGACTGGGGGAGGGATGGAGGGCCAGGCCTCTGTGGTGGAGGAGGGCCTGGAGACTGAAGCCAAGCCAGCAGAACAAGAAGCCATGCCAAAGTAGGGAGCCAGCAGAGCAGGAGGCCAGGGCGGAGCTGACAGGACAAAAGACCGTCTCAGCAGAACTGGAGACCACCACAGCGGAGCAGATGGGGCTGAATATCCCCATGGTGGAGAAGATGGAGTTTAAAGACCACCACAGCAGAGGAGGTGGAGTTGATGGCCACCAATGCAGAGCAGGCAGGACTGGAGACCGCCATAGCAGTGCAGATGCTGAGAAACTCCAAAGACCAAAGATCATCAAGACAGAGCTGATGGAACAGAAGACCACCAAAATGGAGTTGATGAAGCTGAAGACCACCACGGTGGATCAGCCACAGCTAGAGATGACCAATAGAAGACCATCACAGAGGAACAGGTTCGACTAAAACGGACAGCACAGAGAGGTTAGAAACGGCCTCTGTGGTCGTGACAGAACAGGCACAGAGTTTGAGAACACCCTCCTTGGCTGTGACAGGACAGGCAGCTGGTCCAGTGTTGGCCTTCATGGCTGTGACAAGACAGGCAGGGAGTTCTAGGTGACCTCGGTGTTCATAACAGAACAGGCAGGGAGTTGTGGAGGACCTGGAGTGAATGGCGCTGCCTCTGGAGGGTCAGGAGCAGACGCCGCCACCTCGGGAGGATCTGGAGCAGACGGTGCCAACTTGTGTGCAGACCAAACACTCAGAAAGGCAGTGGCCTTTTCCTGGGAGCGCTGCAGATGGTGGAAGGACCTCTGAGACCACCTGACTCAGATGTGCTGGAAACACGGCGCTTGAGAGCGCTGAGGCTGTGGGGATGCTGGCCACTCGTACCGACCTAACCGGTGGGTCCCACCCAGCAACAGCTTACCAACAACCAAAGACAATGACTGACAAAGGCTGACTGAAACACTGGGCTATACACACACACGGAAGCTAACATGGAACTAGACACACCTGGTAATACAATCAAGGGGACCAATGAAACAAAAGGGCTACAAAGGAACTACAAAAACAGGACACTGGAAGTACAATTTAAAAGTCCAAGCAAACTGAGAACATGTAACAAGCACGCATACGAAACGCAATAAACACTGTCTTGTTATCTTGCGCTCGGATGCCTGAAGTTTCATGAGTTCGTCTGCCCAATCAGTCCTGCTTGATAATGGTAAACAAACTTAGCTTGTTGTACTCGAGGGAGCCTTGAACCCGAGACTCGGCTCAAGCGCTAAGTAAGAACCCCCCTCTATGGATGTACGCTGTGGAGGAGGAAAAAGAAAAGAGAAAGAAAAGAAATGGAGAAGGAGAAGAGGAGGCGGAGGGATGCCGGAAGAATTGTCGCTGGGATGGAGCAGCGACTTCTTTTTATATACGCTCGCACCGATGATTGACAGGACTGAAAGATTAGGCTCCTTCTGAACCTATATTTGGAACTTCATTTAGTAACATTATCGTGTGAGATAGTTCTGAGAAATAATTATACAAAATCATTTTGATGACGGACTTTTGCACAGGTAAAGTCAACAAACTGTCATCCTGTGTGAGACAGAGGAGATGGATAGATGCTAGGTCCATTGTATTTCTTGGCCTAGTATTCTGTCATGGTGCAATCAGGCAAAGATAAGTAGATGTGGATCTAGTTAAAACTTAACACTTAGTTAACAAAATACAACAAAGAAAGAGAACCCACAAATGGTGAGAAACAACAAACTTAACAGCTTTACACACAACATGCAAAGACAATACCAGACAAGGCACTAAGGAAACTGAGGGCATGTAAATACACAGGAAAACAAGGAGCTTAATAAGACACAGGTGAACATAATCAATCAACTGATGAGTAACTATAGAAACCAAGGGGAAAAGGACATAGGGACTACACATAGGAACAGCAACCAAAACAGAACATAACAGATTGTATGTGCATATATTTTGACATACTGATAGTGCTGACACCTGTTGAGTGCAATCAGAAACATACATTTTTTGAGAAAATGCCACATGGAAAAAGCAGAAGATGTAGGCCTACCCAAATGTAAATGATTGATTAATGATTACTTGACACATACTTTTATTTCTGCACTTCTGTACCTTGTCTCATTGAATGTATGAAGATGTTTAAAGATTAAACATTCCAGTGAACATGTTCTGTGAATTAAACTATTACTATTAGAGTGAATGACATACATTTTGGCAGTTTAACTTGTTAATATTTGTCTTGCCAGGCAGACGACGCTCTCAGTGTATCTGCTGTCGTTTGTGGGGATGGTGATCTATGCTTTCACCCTGAACTTGGGTCATCTGTGGGTTGTGTTCCTCACATCAGGAGCGCTCGGGTAAGAGCTGCAGACAGTGACAAAAAAACTGCAGTGGACACAGAAGTGTTGTGACATTTAAGGCACAGTGAAAATAAAAAAAAAGATTTCCTTAGTTTTTGTCTTGCTTTCCACTACAAATATCTAAATATTTTTAAATCAAGATACATTTACCTGAGAAGCAAAATTACATATAGTCTTGTTTTCTGGAAAATGTATCAATATTTAGTGAGTTTATGCAAAAACAAATTTCAAAATTCAAAAGGAAAACATTTATTTTTCTTAAACTACTTTTAGATATTTTTTTCTTGTTTTAAACATAAACTCACTCAATTTTAACTTGTTTTTCAGAAAACAAAACGTAATATTTTGCTTCTCAAGTAAATGTCTTTATTTAAGAATGTTTAGATTCTTCTTGTACTGTTAGTTGTACTGTAAAAGACAAAACAAAATATAACAATATAAGATAAAAATACTAAGAATTTTTTTTTTGCAGTCTAGACAACAAAAGATCAAAACCAGTGTCATTAGTTTAAAATAAATATAGCACAAGTGCACTTTTCATGCTAAAATGCATTTACACAAAAATAGTTTGTTAGTCGTTGAAATTATAAAAACGTAAAAGTATTATGAGACTGTGTGGTTGCTAAATGTTCCTGAGATGTTTTTTAAGCTTAAAGTGACATTGTTACACTGTAATTATACAAATAAGTACTGAGTATTATTGTAACACTCGGCCTAAATAAGGCCGGCTACACAAATAAAACTGTCCTTTTACCTCTTTAAAAAGAGTTAAGACACAATAAACACCACAGGTATCAAGATTGAATGCCAACCCAAAGTGTATTAAATGAAAAGACACAGAAAAACGATATATACAATATATACAATAAATGAATGGACGTGCGTTCGTACTGTTCTTTAAAGTCCAAATTCAAGTTTAATTCAATTCAATTCAAGTTTATTTGTAAAGCGCTTTTCACGATACAAATCGGTGGCAAAGCAACTTTACAGCAAATTAAGTTTCTACAATATTTAGTGGTAGCTTATCAGTGGTGAATGTCAGTTAATGTACATATGGCAGAAATGTACGGAAAAATCAATTAAAGACGTAATCAAACTGTAACGAGGCGACAGAGACGAGAGACGTGCGGATCCATTTGCAAAGCTTTATTCATTGAATGGTCAGAAACAGGCGAGGGTCAGACAATGGCAACAGGTATATTGAGGGCAAGACACAAGAGTAATCCGATAAACAGGCATAGGTCGATCAATGGCGAACATAATCCAAAGGGCTTGACAAGAGGGGTAATCCAAAAACATGAGCAATAGTCCAGGCGAGGTGCAAACACGGTCCGAAACAGCAAGGCAAAGGGTAAATCCAAGATACACAGGCAAAAGATCAGGAAACAGGCAATGCAAGACTTTGACTAGACTATGGAAACTAGAACTAGAAAACTTAAACAAGGACAGGGAACTGGCTCCGTAAAGTAGCTACGCTAAACAGCATAAACGCTAAAACAATACTCGGCCATTTGAACAGGATCTGAGTGTGTAAATATAACCCAGAAGGGCGGTGGAGCAGAGGCGGAACAGGGGGAGGGATGGAGGGCCAGGTCCACGTGGAAGTGGAAAAACCGTGAACTGAAGCAGAGCCAGCAGAGCAGGGCACCCAAGCGGAACCAGCGAAACAGGAAGCCAGGGCTGAGCAGAGAACCAGGATGGAACCGGCAGAGCAGGGAGCCAGGGCGGAGCAGACGGAGCAGGAGCCCACCACGGCGGGGCAGACGATGCAGAAGACCACCACGGCGGAGCAGACAGAGCAGAATACCACCACAGCAGAGCAGACGGAGCAGAAGACTACCACAGCGGGGCAGACAGAGCAGAAGACCACCAGAGTAGGACAGAAGACCTCCATGACGGAGCAGAAGACCACCAGGGCAGAGCAGATGTAGCAGAAGACCACCAGGGCGGAGCAGATAGAGCCGGGAGCCATGGCAGAGACTGGGGCCTAGGGAAAGCAGAGACAGACTACACAGGCAGTGCATTCATGGTCTCAGGGACCGAGGCAGGGAACACAAGAAGTTCATCAATAGTCCCCCTGGTGACCATTGAACGGGCAGACAGCTCACTGATTGAAACTGGATAGGCAGACAGTTCACAAACAGGCTTACTGACTGGGACTGGCAAGGCAGACTCTTCAACAGACACATTTGGGAAAACAGAACATGCAGACAGTTCATAAATGTTCTCTATGGCAGTGACAGGGTTAACGGGACAGACAATGAGTGCATTTATAGTCTCTGGGCTCATGACAGGCAAGTTTAAGGGTTCAAAGGCGGGGTTTTGGGCTGTGACAGACAGGGCAGTAAACTCGGTGTTAGTTTCCTTGAGAGTGACTGGACAGATAGACAGTTCAATATTAGATTCATGGACTGTAACAGGACATACAGATAATCCAAAATTAGGTTCGTGTGGGAGTAGTGGACCGGCAGACAGATCAAGACCGGGTGCATTGATTGAAACTGGACTTGTAGACATTTCAGTAAATGATATTAAACAGGCAGACAATTCACAGTCAGACTCAGTTGAAACAAGACAGACAATTCAAAATCAGATTTGACTGTAGAATTTAAACCAACAGACAGTTCACAGTGAGATGCATTGAGTGACACTAGATTGGCAGACAGTTCAGTGATTGAATCTGGACAGACAGATAGCTCAGAATCAGGCTCATTGACGGAAACTGGATAGATAGACTGTTCACTAGGGGTCTCTTTGGCAACGACAGAAGTAATGGGGCAAATATAGAGTTCATTTATGGTTTCAGGGTTCATGACAGGCAGGGTTAAGAGTTTACAGGTGACCTTTTTGGCGGTGACAATGCTACTAGGGCATACAGAATCTTAATTTAAAGTCTCTGGGGTCGTGGAAAGGGTAACGGAGCAAACGAAAGGTTCATTCATGGCCCCCATGGCCATGACGGGTTTACTCGGGCATATAGCAAGTTCATTTGCAACAGAACGTCATGAAGTTCGCAGCCAGCATCCTTGGTTGTAACAGATAGGACTGAGGGTTCATAGGTAGCCTCCTCAGCTGAACCGGGACAGGAGAAAAGTTCATAAGCAGCCTCCCTAGCCATGACAGGACAGGCAGGGGATTCACTAACGGGCTCCATAGCCATTACAGGACAGGAAGTGAGTTCACAGCGAGCCTATGGCGACGAAGCCTGCCAAAGCCCGCCAGAATGGGCGGGGCATCTGGCCATATAAGTGGCCGTTCGCCACAGGATTCTCAGATTTCTTCTCCTTCAGCGACGACTCTACGCTCATCGCTGATCCTGAAAGCCTGCTCACCGTTGACATGCCTCGCAGCTGGATTGAGATCTCCCTGCTCGGCTGACCGGCTCTCTTCGTGCCTCAGCATCGCAGCAGTTCCAGTCCTGTTCCCCTGCCGCCATCTGGCGATTCTGAAAGAGCTTATTTCTAACAGGTAAGCCCTAAAAGAGCAAATTCTAGCGACGAAGGGCAGTGAGCTATGCACTTACTGAGACAGAATGCTCACTCAGAGCATGAGTCTCGCTCTTCTCCACTCGTGGACCGCCTTTCACTGAAGGCAGCTCTGTCAGTGTTTCACGAGCAACTTAATCCTCCTAGGCAGATGAAAGCAAAATGCTGCCAGCTTCGCATTTGTGTGTGCGTCGCTGAGCCCCGCCTCCCCCGCTCTTGTGTTTCTCTCCTCCCAGTTACTCGGAGGTAGAAATGACGAACTCGCGGGTATGAACGATCAGGTTTGAGTGATTTAATGCCGGCAAAGCCCCCGCATGCATCACTCTCCATGCAGCTCTTTGATCTGCCAGTGTGTTTACACGTGGGCATCGGTGCCCCCTCATTGTCGAGCGGCTCAATCCTCCTGGGCGGTTTGGAGCAGAATGCTGTCACCAATGATTCAATATCGCTGACAGCTTTGTATATGAACGTGCCTCTCTCCTGGGCCACGCCCATGCTGAGGCTGCGCTGCTGAGACAGACCGCTCTTACAATGAGAGTTCATGTCTCACTCTGCTTTGCAATCGGCTCGACCAGCCTCTCAATTTAATCCAACCCCTTGACCATCCCTGTAATGCCAGTCTGGGTGTTGGAGATAATAAAACGAGGTTATTCACTGCAATTCGCTTGGATACACCGCGATTCAGCTGCGTGGTTCCCACCTCAGCTTAGAGCAAAGACGCACACGTCCTGCGCTCAGAGGTGATGAATTTGCTGACGATAGGAGCTGTAGAAACTCTTCCCCCAGCACAGAGTATATATACTGTAATATACAATTATATATATAAACAAAATATACTGTATATACAATAAATGAATGGACGTGCGTTCGAACTGTCCTTTATAGTCGAATGTTGTGTGTGTGTGTGTGTGTGTGTGTGTGTGTGTGTGCGTGTGTGTGTTTTCGGTTCGGCCTCTCCGGTGAAGTATAGTGAGTCCGGGAGCACATAGAGGAACAGGCTGTCCTGTGATAAAGTTGGACTATTCCTTAAGGAGAATCCCAAGAGTCACAGCAAAAAAAAAACAGCAGAGTGTATGAGACGATCGATCTTTGATTATATTCCAAAATGAGCACGTTGAGCGTTGCTGCTCGAATGCCGATAAACCGGCTTCTTTTATCGGAAGTGTAAAATCAGCAGATTCAGATGACATCAGTAGATTCCCTGGCGCGTCACGACGGAACTCTAGCGAGAAGAAACAGGGTCCACAACACTCGACGAGGAAAAACAAACAAAGGGACAACGATAACAGCTGAGATATATCAACAATCAAATTAGCATTTTATCAACAGCTTTATAAATATCTCCCTCTTGTGTGGCCGTGCTACATTATTAATTAACATCATGCATTTACTGTAAGGTTAGGGTTAGTTGCTTGTAATTCTGCATAATTTACAGTTTTCACGATAGCAAGTACATGTAACAAGTGTAACGATGTCACATTAAAATAATGTGTTATCAAAATGCAACATTCTGGAAGGAAAAGAGTTTGTGTCTGTTTAGAGAAAAGTTTAACTTTTCTCAGCTTTGTCACAGTATACGCTTACATCACATTTCTTCCACTCTGACCAAAGTGCACATGTGCCAGTGCTCGTGCACAAGTATAAAAACATGGCAGAATTTCACAACAAAAGTCCATTTCACTCTTAGAGAGCAAACATCTAATAATGAAATATTGTAATTTATGAAAGATACTTTTGCCCCCAGTATGGTAGTGATGCAACATTCTGGAAGGAAAAGAGTTTGTGTCTGTTTAGAGAAAAGTTTAACTTTTCTCAGCTTTGTCACAGTATACGCTTACATCACATTTCTTCCACTCTAACCAAAGTGCACATGTGCCAGTGCTCGTGCACAAGTATAAAAACATGGCAGAATTTCACAACAAAAGTCCATTTCACTCAAACATCTAATAATGAAATATTGTAATTTATGAAAGATACTTTTGCCCCCAGTATGGTAGTCACAGCGTCAACTAACTGAACCATGCTAACCAGCCAAATCTTTACCTCATGATTTCTACACAGACTGACCATAAAGAAATTTTGTGGATCAACATCTAATTGTAGTTCAATCATTACAACTTTTGGAATAGTTTAACCATGTTAACTGATATGACAATGTTGTTAATGTATTAGGCCTTGGCAGACTAGATCTGCTACGCACACTGCTGCAGAGCCAGTATGGACTTGCTACTGCCAATAGATACACAGACATGCTGCTGTTAGCATGTAAGATATGCTGCTGCTGCGTGGATAGGCACACATAAATCCTGTTGCAGATCTAGACAGGTGGTGCTGGGGGAGGTGGAGGGTTTCAGAGGAACTCTAGTGCCCTACAGGTCCAGCATACAGCCAACACTGAACCTAACTATTAAAATATTGAGAATCAGAAGAGGCCAAGCAATGTGATTATTCATAAAGCATATAGCAGATTGCATGTAAAAGACCTATTAGCTTGCAACATCTAGAGTTTCATGAGTGAACTAGATGTATGTTTTTTTATGTTTATGAGTGCTAATGGCTGACTGATGAACTGTTTCCAGTATCAATGCATACAGTGCAGTTGTTTGGACCGGCTGATTCTTCAGTCTCTTCTGTCTTTGACCGCAGGTTCTTCATGACGGGTTATCTGCCGCTGGGCTTTGAGATTGCAGTGGAGCTCACGTACCCAGAGTCAGAGGGAACATCTTCAGGACTGCTCAACTGCTCAGCGCAGGTCATGCATCTGCTCTGCACTTTAAGATATGAGGATGAGTCAAATCTAAAAAGACATTCAGGGGACCTGTTTCCATGACTTACTGTAAATACATGACTTACATGGTTGCAATTTCCAAATTCTAAGGTATTGATTTAATTAAAACGTCTGTTGACATAATGCGTGTTGATCAATACATCAACTTAATATTTTCACTTATTCATTAAATATACATGCTAAATAAGTTATATTTAGCATGTGATATACTAGCTGTTAATTTGAACTAAAATAGATTAGTTGATTGCAGTGCCACCATTTAACAATTTTGAAACCCCAAATCTAAAAATAACTACTACAACAACTACCGTACTTTCTATCAATAAGCAGTCATTTGCAGTTTACTGAGGGAAAACTCTTAATACTTAATAGTGATAATGTGTTCCCTAATCTACCTAAAAATTAGTTTATACTACAAATTATTATGTTTCTCCAAATCAGTAGTTTGTTGGTTGAACATAATTTCAGTAGCGCTTAAGAAGATACGGAGGTGTATAAAGATAACAGCATGTTTATGGTACATGACATACTTGCTCAGGATCTTTCTGTTGTATGCAGATGTTTGGAATTGCATTCACCATCATTCAAGGCAAAATCATCGATCGCTTCAGCACACTGGCCGGAAACATCTTCCTCTGTGTGTTCCTCTTCATCGGCTCCATCATGACAGGTAGAAGCTCATCACATGACACTCATCATGTGACCACTAGATAACCGCTCCACTCATCTTCTGCACACGTGATGAATAGAGCATAACTTCAGTATATTGCGTCACAGTGGCACATACACACACGCAGGGTTTTTATATAGTAATATGAACGTACCATGAAAGCTCAGACAGTAGAGCAGTGGTGCTTGCAACACCAATGTCATGGGTTCGACTCCCAGGGAATGCATGAACTCATGAATTAAAGCATGTATCAAATGCATAAATGTAAATGAAATTTAAAAAGTATGTTAATTTTAACTTCAGACTATCAATTTATGTCTCTCTGCCTCACAGTGCTTATAAAATCTGACCTGCGGCGACAGAAGGCCAACAGTCAATCCCAGACAGAGGTGATCGCTGTAAGTATGTTTTAATTTGACCTCTATCTCTATCTCTATCTCTATTTGACCCAGTGTTACCTCTGTCGGCTTCTGTTGGTGTTGGTTGGCATGTATTCACCGATTAAATATGTTGTATTGGCGTTTACTGGGTCTTGGAAGTGAATAATTCAGTCAGTGCATCATTTTGGAACTGTTCACTCAAAAACTGAGGTACATACTGTAAGCTCAGATCAGTGAGGCCAGTGACCAATCAGTACAAAACCTGTGCTAACTGAAAGAAAACAAGTTGATAAATTGAATCCAATATTTGGTAACTAATATACAGCGGGTAAAATAAGTCACGTCACCATTTTTCTCAGTAAATATATTCTAAAGGTGCTGTTGACTTGAAAGTTTCACCAGATGTCGGTAACAACCCAAGTAATCCATACATACAAAGACACACAGATCACTGGGGTCTGGAATAGAGTGTCAAATACAGGAAACAGGGTAGAAATTAAAAAAGAGAGAAAAAAGAGAAGAACAACAGAAGAACTGGTGAGTGCAAACAGCAAACAGATGATCAGATGATTGGATTAACAAAAAAAAAAACTCAATGGGGCCATCTAGTGGTAAGAGCACAAGGCTGGTGACAAGGATTCAGGATGTCCCATGATCATTTGTGTAAATGTTTCAGTCGCCCAGTTATTGTAGTTGTCCTTCAGCCCAGTGAAGTTGCGGTCAGGCTGAGTGTTATGACGGGACGATTAGGTCTGACAGCGGAGCAGAAAGAGCTGGAGGCCACGGCCGAGCGGCACTTCATAGGACAGGGAGACCTTAACCAGTGACGGGATAAACTCAGGATCAAACTGCATGAGAGAGCTTCCGCTGTGAGAGTCTGACAGCTAATGCACTCAAAGAAAAGAGCCTGTTGTGTCTGGGGAGAAATAGTAAAACCATCCATAAACCTCAGGTTTTTGTCATCTTAAGAGAAAGAACAAAAATAAACACTGTGTCCATATGGCACAAAAAAATAATGGGGAAGAACTTGACTATACTAGAGGTGAATATATTGTAAGTTACAAACCAACAAAACTGTGCAGCCAGAGAAAATCAGGTAAAATAATCAAATATAAAAATAAACAAAAAATAGATGCATATAAATATAGTAATAACTGCACACACATCTCTTAAAAAGCATATCAGATGTGTTAGTTTGGTCAGTAAACTAGATCAAACAGTAAGCACACCAATGAATTTTCAGCTGAATTTGCCAAACATGAGCATTCTTGAGATGTGTGTCTGTGAATAAGCATGTAATAGATATGATTCTAAACAGATATGAACTTTATTCACATGCATACAGTAGAGTTGCAGAAAACGATATACTCTCTACTCAAAAATCTGCCTGATTTTTTATTTTTTATTTTTTATTTTTTTTATTTTTTTTCACGAAATGTGGTTGTACATTGAGTGTATATACACACACAGTATATCAAATCTCAAAATATAAACTATATCATTGCCCAAGTCTAAAATGCTAACTGTGACTCTAAGGCAAGAAGATATTATGAACAGAACATCAACATCATGATTTTCTGTAAAGCTGCTTTAAAAAAAAAAAGTATTGTGACAAGCACTTTACAAATAAATTTGACTTGACTATTTCTATCTATCCCTTTTCTTGGTTCATTTGTACAGTTGTAGATTTCTACAGTCAATTTCTCTCTGCATGAAGTGCATTTTCTTTAATGTTAGTTTATGTCAAAATTATTATAGTTCCTTACTGAGGAACAGTAGTGAATGTGAACGGATGCTTAATTTACCCTGTTTGTTTCTTCTGTTCAGGACTCATCCGTACATCCCCAAGATGGAAAATCGTTACCGGTAAAAGAGGTGAAGATGTAAAGACGGAAACCATCGGAATCACACTCAGTGTGCATCACAACTCCATATGAACCATTATACGCATAAATCCTCTTGAATTTCCTACACAGCCAATATCCTGAACAATGACAGCTCAGTTTACATACTCAAGCACAACCGAAAGTACGTTTTCTAACTTTACATTGTTCCTTCAGTGCTCCCACGTCACAACATTCAGTGGGAATCATTCGTGAAACACAAGCACAAAAAATTGCAGGCCGTTGCATTCAATTCAAGTATGGATTTATGAACAATTCACATGAACTGCTCATGTTTTATGTTGTAATGTGCAATTTTCTACACCTTATGTGTATCATGATGTTTGCATGATGGTCCGTTAGAGCTGACCTAAACTTTAGTTATGAGAACCAAATGATTTTAGCACTACAAGTACTAATCTAGTATAAAGTGTCTCTGTGACAGACACATCTAGATCTGATTCAGGAGATCTCGCTCTGTGTTCAGGTTAATGTGGAAGGTCAAAGTCCTTCAATGAAACCATCAATTCAATATATGGTGCTTTAAATGTGTGAGTGCCTTGTGAAAGAGCATCAGTGGTCAGTGGAGATGTGTGATGATACTCACGTCTTATATAATGCAATACTAACACAACAACAGTGCAGAACACAGGGAATTAGAAAAGAATTTATTTTGGGAACATCTGCAATGGTTTATGTGTGTTGTAGTGTGCAGTGTAATGTGTGATTGATTACGCCGAATGAAATCCAAGATTTTCTCTTACTCATTTTGGACTGCTGATTCCAAAAACTGTATCTGTTTTGCTGAAGCAAAGAAGAGGTTGAAGACGTCTCGCATTATCTGTTAATTACAAACAAACACATGATTCCTGTCTGAGCCACATTACAACTTTTTGTTCAATTCTCAGCCCATTGTCATGTGTATGGGATTATTTGATGCCTAATCCTGATTTTAAGGTCAGAATTATGGATAGAAGAAAATGCAAACACGAGTCTGATGTTTTTTTTTTGCTTTTACTGCATCCACAGAACATTACGGATTTTGTGGGGAAAAAAGAAGATATTCATAAACGTGTGTTTATGTGAAGTTTAAGAGACTAAATGTGACCCTGGACCACAAAATTGAACTACTTTTACTGAAAGCTGAATAAATAATCTTTCCATTGATGTATGGTTTGTTAGGATAGGACAATATTTGGCTGAGATACAACTATTTGAAAATCTGGAATCTGAGGGTGCAAAAAAATCTAAATATTGAGAAAATCATCTTTAAAGTTGTTCAAATGAAGTTCTTAGCAATGCATATTACTAATCAAAAATTAAGTTTTGATATATTTACAGTAGGACATTTACAAAATATCTTCATGGAACATGATCTTTACTTAATATCCTAATGATTTTTGGCATAAAAGAAAAATGTATAATTTTGACCCATACAATGTATTGTTGGCTATTGCTACAAATATACCCCAGCGACTTAATACTGCTTTTGTGCTCCAGGGTCACAAATGGAGAGTTTGATCATGTTTTTCCAGTCCTTTGCAGACTCTAAGTTGAAAGATAGATTTTTGATCCTTTATTTAGCCAGGAGAATCCCATTGAGACTTCACAATCTCTTCTTCCAGGGAGACCTGGTCAAATACTTTTTGTCATTAACTTTTTACATTTGACTGCTTTTGTTACTTTGGTAAATGCTTTAAAGCTGTACATGACGGAAGGTAATATGCGACACATTTTTGGGCAAATCAGCAATATTTATTTTTGAGATGCCATGGGTTCTGTGTAATAAACCAGACCACAGTCATAGATGTCTGTACAGAAAAGTGGCTTTGATATCAGTTTTTACACTGATTTTGAGCAAAATAGATGATCAGTCACAACTCAGACTTCAGTGTGTAGAGATGTTCAGTGTTAGTTAGTTTCAGTGTACAGCCGTGTTGTGATCAGATCATTGTTCGTGTTAGAAACGTGTGTGGATGTAGTCCTCTGTACTGTTATTGTTTGTATAAAAACATTTTGTATATAATCTAGGAATTCTTGGTGTCGTAAATTAAATCTGACATTCAGTAATAAAGTGATAACTAGTGGCTAAACTGCAAATGAGTCATGTAAACTATTCCACATGTGTTATAGAGAAACCACTGAGACATGACCAGAAATAAACATTCATGAACAGCACCTATTAAAACCCTTTCTGCTTGACAATCATTATTTAAACAAATAGAAATGTAACTACAAAATTTCCTCCAGGAGCTCAGAGCTGTCATCTAGACACAGAAGCAGCTCAAATGTGTCAGGCTTTCAGACTTACAATTGTGTTATTTCACAGTTTCCATCACTGCACTATCATTCGAAATCAGTAGTGCCCAAACTTTTTAATACAAAGGGTCAGAAATCAACATTGATTGATACTTTTTAAAAATGTAAATACTAGTGCTGTCAAACGATTAATCGCATCCAAAATAAAAGTTTTTGTTTACATAATATGTGTGTGTGTACTGTGTATATTTATTATGTCTATATAAATACACACACATGCATGCATATTTAAAAAAATGTTTATATATTAAATATATTTATATGATTATATAATTTATATGAATATAAATATATGCATACATGTAAATATTTTCAAAATATATGCTGTATGTGTGTGTCTTTATATAGACATAATAAATATACACAGTACACACACACATATTATGTAAACAAAAACTTTTATTTTGGATGTGATTTTAATCGTTTGACAGCACTAGTAAATACACAAAAAACTAAACATCAATATATATTTTTATATATTATATTGTTTTTTGCACTTCAATTTAGAAACAAAACAAGAAGTTAAAACAAAAATATCAATTAGAAATGAAGATATTCGTGCATCTCAGTTAAAATAATACCGGTACTGTAATTGCTTTTGGACAATTAAACTTCAAGTAACCATATAAACTTATTATTATTTGAATATTACACAGATTTTAAAGCAGTACAAAGGTAGTTCGTGCATCTCATATGTTTTGGCAAGCAGTTGCTATGGGGACAGGCATGTAACCAGTGAGCCATCAGAAAAGATGTGTGCTGGGAGATGATGCTGAGATGATGCACAGAAAGTGATGATGCTGGGAGAATCACTCAGTTCCTCTTCTTCTGACGGGCTCCCACTACTTCCTGAGGCTCAACGGCACACTGGAAGCCAATTAACATGCCCACGATAGAGAAACCTACAAACACAAACACTGTTATAGGCCAGTATATGAAGATGATACGGACTCTTCAAATGCTGATCAATCCAACAACAGAACTGATGATAAATATATTTTTCCTTTACATTTCTCTCAAGTATGGAGTATGTATTTGAAAGTCAGTGTTTGTACAGACACAAACTACTTCAAGGTATCAGATCAAATCTACCTCCATGCTGTATATTTTTGTATGCAGGTGTACACTACTGTTCAAAAAGTTGGCAATAACTGATTCTTTTAATTTTTCAAAGAAGTCTCTTCTGCTCACCGAGGCTGTATTTATTTGATCAAAAATACAGTATAACTGTGAAATATTATTACAAATTAAAATAAGTGTTTTCTATGTGAATATCTGTTAAAGTGTAATTTATTCATGTGACGTAAAGCTGTATTTTCAGCATCATTACTCCAGTCTTCAGTGTCACATGATCTTCAGAAATCACTAATATGCTGATTTGCTGCTCAAGAAACATTTCTGATTATTATCAATGTTGAAAACAGTCGTGCTGCACAATATTTTTGTGGAAACTGTGATACATTTTATTTTTCAGGATTCACAGATGAATAGAAAGTTCAAAAGAACAGCATTTATTTGAAATAGAAATCTCTTGCAACATTTTAAATGTCTTTACTGTCACTTCTGATCAATTTAATGCGTCTTTGCTGGATAAAAGTATTAATTTCTTTCTTCCCCCAAAAGTTTGAATGGTAGTGTATCATGGTTTTCAAAACATATGACATGGAACGACAGTTTTTAACACTGATAATAATAAGAAATATTTCTTGAGCAGTAAATCATTTCACAATATTACTGTTTTTACAATATTGTTAGAGTAATTTTATGTTCACTTGTCACCCAATAGATGTTACAAAAATAGGAGTAGATCACTCACTGGCTACAATCAGAGGAGCCATGACTCCAATGGTCAGAGGAGCGGTTTTATAGATAAACGCTTCGGACAGGAAGTGACCGAGCGCCAGAACAAATGTCCACAGAGTGATATGATAAAGCCTGAAATGAGGGCAAGAAAGAGACGTCAGCTTCATTCCAGCAGAGTTCACACACACACACACACACACACACACACACACACACACACACACACACACACAC